ACACACACACACACACACACACAAACATACGTGTGCACGGACAAAGGAATAAAACACTTTTGTCGTAGTCAGGACTGCAGAAGTACAGTAGGAACTTTTGCTGTTGTTGTTGTTGTTTTTGTCGTCGTCGTTGTTGTTATTGTTGTTGTTGTGGTTGTTGTTGATGATGTTGTTGTTGTAGATGATGATGTTGTTGTTGTGGATGATGATGATGATGTTGTTGTTGTAGATGATGATGTTGTTGTGGATGATGATGATGATGTTGTGATGTGTCCAAAAGCCCAGCCGCTATTTATTGAAGATTTAACAAATTCTAGTTTTGTTTTCCTTGTGTATTTCCTCCCCACATTCTAGACCCAAGGTGCTTGACAAACTGCAGTGAACCTGTCTGGGGGCACATATGATACCTGCGTGATACCCGTGTGATACCTGTATGATACCTGTGGGACACCTGTGGGACACCTGTGTGATACATGTGGGATACCCGTGAAATAACTGTGTGATATATGTGGTACCTGTGTGACACATGTGTAAAACCTGTGGGATACGTGTGTGATACCTGTGTGTGATACCCTTGTGTGATACCTGTCTGATACCCGTGTGATATCTTGTGTGATACCTGTGTGTGTGTGATACCCGTGTGACACCTGTGTGTGATACATGTGTGTGTGTGTGTGTGTGTGTGTGTGTGTGTGTGTGTATGTGTGTGTGTGTTTGTGTGTGTGTTATGTTATTATATCATAATATAGTGTAAGGCGCATAGAGCCTGCTGCTGAGCGGGTATATGCGCTATACAAATGTTATCTATTATTATTATTATATTTTTTGTATGTGGGTGTGTAGAGCGACTTTTCTCTTCTTTTTTACGTTCATCTGTAATCTATCATAAGATGTGTATGATGTATACATACAGTCGAGCCAGCTCTAATGGCAAACTGCACAAGACAATCACCTGTACAAACGGCCACTTACCAATTTCTCCTGTACATGTTTTATATTATCATAACATGAAATGAATAAATAATAAATAGCATTTGCATAGCGCATATCCCCACTCAAAAGCAAGCTGTATGCGCTTTACACAATATTATTACCCCAGCAGACCATAAAACATTCAGAAACAATCTCAACTTCCCGGGAAGCATGCAGTGCAAGCAAATGATTAATCGCTCAAACACTAACAAACGGACAAGATCTTTCACTGTCTATAGCTTGGTACCAATGCTTACTGTATTACAGTATTACAGTAGGCGTTGCTGGGTACCCATTCCCATCTGGGTGAAGTAGGGAAAATTCGTGTAAAGTGCCTTTCCCAAGGACACAGCGTCGGGCCTGCGGCTCGAACCTCCAAACCCGCAACCTCACGATTACGAGTCCGGTAGCCTAACCACTTGGCCACCGAAGCCACATGTTACTGTGTACATGTTGCCACTTTTCCCCCATTGTCTTGTCACGAAGATAAGTGGCCGTCTTACACGGTCTCGTGATAATGTAACTTTAATGTACAGGAGAAACTGGTAAGAGGCCGATTGTACAGGTGATGTGTAACGCGGGTGTCCATGAGAGCAGGTTCGACTATTATGTTATGTACATGTATAATAATATAGTATATTTATATAATTATATTGATTTAATAGGCCGATAAATAGAGGGAGAGAGGAGA